AGTGATAAGAAGAGCACAATTTCACAGCTAAAGGCAGATAAAAAGAACATCATTTGCCCAGTACCTAGTACAGGTATGGCATCAATTTCTGCGCCAAAGAAAGGAGAAGCAAAATCATTGTAGCAACAACAAAGCACAAGCTGAGTGTCAGAGGGAGGTTCGTTGTCTGGGATGCTCATTTCAAATCACTTTGGGAAGGCAAGTTACTGCTGCTAAATTTCATAACGTCTGAAATCGGTGACTTTTCAAGTCACAAAGAACAGTCCTCTAAACCTTTATAAAGAAGTTTGCACTGACTTTATCATTACAACAAGTGTAATGGTGAGAAAATAAAGGCAAAAGCGATAGATGCTAACACTCTAGCGCAAGTTCCAACCCAAAGCATTTTCTTTTTTCTTTTTCTTTTTTTAAAGATTTTATTGGGGAATTGGGGGAGGGGAACAGACAAGCTGCTGTCCGTTTTGTTCTTCAGTCTAGTTGTGGAGGACGTCGCTCCACTGGCCCATGTTGGTATTATCATTGCGCTCTTCCCGGGTGAGGCAGATCAGTCACTGGCCACTGGACGGCCGCTCACGGTGGCTCTTGGCAGCTCACACCGGCTGCTGGCCGCTCACAGCAGCTCACTTCGGTTGCCGGCTACTCACGGTAGCTTACGGGAGCCCACTTCAGCTCCACTGCAGCCTACGCCGGCGCCAGGGACTCATGGCAGCCCAGCTCCAGGTCAAGCTGTTGTTCACCATGTTAGCTGTAGAGGGCTCAGCATCACTGGCCTTAATGTGCGATCTGAACCGGGACCCTGCTGCTCAGAGCTGGCGTCCCAAGCCAACTCTTAACCAATGCACCACTCAGCCGGCCCCCCAAAGCATTTTCATTATCTTGAAGCAAGCAAGAGGGCCACAAAGCTTTTTGCTCTGATTTGGGACACATTACTTTCAAGTAAAGGCTGTCCTGTACTTCAGAATTCTTAAAGTGATAAGAGGACACTTCAACACACACACACACACACACACACACACACACACACACACACACCCCAATGGTGAGATGATGGATATGTTAAATTAACTTCATTGTAGTAATCATTTCACAATGTATATGTACATCATATCAGCATGGTATACAGTTTAAATATATACCATTTTATTTGTCACATACATCATGGAAGCAGAGAAAAATTTTAATCTTAACTCTTTCATTTTCTTTTCCTTTGTCCCTTCGCCCCAGGACCGCATCTTCTACCGTTTCCCAGCCCCAGTGAGGTAGGAGTCAGGATAGGATTAGCCAAGGTTCGTTATTATTTGTGATGGTTCCCTACATCCCTGTAACAATAGGACTGCCTAATAGTAAACAGGAGCCCCCTATTTCAGAGGCATGATTAGATTTATTTATTTATTTTTCTGTCAAACAGTTAACCAAGTTTACTACAGGTTTATTACTTTAAAAGTAACTGTTATTCTTGATCTGAACAAACAACAGAAACTTTTGTTTGCAAAGTTTTAATAAGGAACAGTTAAGAGAGTTGGGAAGAGACTGAGTGAGGTTCATTATACTAATGCTCTGGGGATCTCAAACTCCATCAAACTTGGGAGAAGAGCAGATCCCTTAAGAAAACAAAGCTGCAACCCAAATCTTTCAGCCCTGATGTCACCTCCACAAAGAGATGTGTTTATTCCAGGAGTAGTTCACCACTGTCTACTAGAGCCACATTGCCCACAGAAGAACTATCATCTCACAGGGACTGAGCCAATGTGAAGATATAATAAAAGCATTATCGCCCGAATCACCCCATTAGTCCAAGAGGAGGACGAATGAGGATTGCACTAACTAAATGATAACTGTATTCTTCCAAGGCGTCCCCCAAGATGAACCTGCTGAAAATGGGAGATTTCAAAACATTCTAGACTCATCAGATCTTGTAAGCTGAATGAAGACAAAGTCCAAGGAAACAATTCTCTCTCCTGGGGAATGCAGCTGACCATTCAGGATGCTTTGGAAAAGGAGAGGTGTTCTTAGAGAATGTCATCAAATTCATGAGAGATGAGGATCTCACAACAACGCTCTAAGATCTACATTTAGAGTCCATAGACAACATTGCAACCTCGAGAACTACTCTTCAATTCTGTGAGTAGTGTATTTGGAATGGCCTGATTGGGACTCCCCCAGAAAGCTGCTAGATACCTGACCCTGGGCCTGTGGGGTAATCTCCTCCTTGGTACTGCAGAGGGTGGCACAGCAGCAGTGCCCTCCTCAAACCCTCCTATTCCTGGCACTTTTTAAATATTCCTTTATAAGATGTGGTACATCAAGCACATACACTGGGTCTCATTTGTAACTTTAGCCCCACCATCCAGGTCAATGTTAGGCAAGTCAAAATTTATCCAGTCAGAGCCATTAAGTTACTCACTCACGTTGGGGAACTTCGCCTGTCCCACCTTGTGCTCTGTGTAATTGTCCCCTTGGAAAACCCAAAACTCTGGACAACATTGAGTCTGGGTTGAATTAATTCTCCTTTTTAGAAGGAGATCTCACCCTCCTTTGAAGCATAGTAGAACTGTCCAGAAAAACCCGCAGTTCTAGTCATGGCAGGACAAACCTCCAGGACATCCCTAGAGACTTTCCCACTGGGCACCACCTGACTGACCCTTAAAACAATGAATGATATGAGTGGATGGTGCAGCCAAGTCCAGGCTTTCAGGCTGCCAAGCCAGGCTCCCCTTCCACTCATCAAGCCTGTAGGATAAAATCCCTGGGATTCATGAAGTGGCCTACTTCCCTTTGCATCTGGAAGGCCTCCCAGCTATTGATCTCTGGTTTGAAACAGGGAAAAAAAACAAAACAAAAAAACAGAAGTTTATCAGCAGCCCTGTCTATGTGCTATATCCTTGGGCTAGTCACAATGTCTTTTCACAGTGGTCTGTGCTAAGCTCATGATTCAGTATGAACCCAGAGCTTTCTCCTCCCCTCCCACTAACATCCACATCTTCCTCTTCTAGTCTCTATTCCCAACTTCCTTTCAATGTATCCTACCCCCAACTTCACCTAAATAATACTCATTCTATTAGCTTCTGATGATGTTTCTGAGTATGACATTCATGTTGGATCCTGCTACTGTTCTGGAAAGAGCTGGGTAAGTTTCTTGGTCACCTGGGCTCACATCTGAACCAAATGGTTAAACTGCAGAGACTTCTTTTTCAAATTGCTGATGAATCTAGACAACTTTGAGATTCCCGTGAAGAATAGTCCTAGTTATACCCTCAGAAGCTGATCAACTGTTTTTTGTTCTTTAATAATTGTCAACAAATGTTACATATATATAATAATAGCTTGTGAAATGACTTTGAACAGTCTAGCTTGTGCTAAAAAGAAAGCAAAACCATAAAAAAGGAAAGCTTATGCAGTTCACTATTTCATCCTCTCTAGTAATATCCCCTAGCATCGCCTTCATCCCAAGCACCTAAACTGGGTCCCACTCCTATTCTCCAGTGACTGACAAATATTTCTTGCTACAGCTCCACCTGATGATTAAGGTAGCAGTTGATAAGCAGTTGCTTAAGAAAGGGAACTTCCAGGGATGCTGACTTTTAAAGAGAGATCTTTTTTAAGGGTTTAGGGGGTTTTGCTGCTGGGAGTAGTCTAGCAGACCTAACAAGACCCCTGTCTCTTTACTAGGTCAAACTCTATACCATCTCAAAGATGGAGAGCTTCCCTTTAGAGAATGTTTGTGGGGAGACATTTCCACCTTCTCATAAGGGAAAGCAAACTTTCTTCAGATGGACCAATTTAAGATTACTTAGCATATGACTCTGCTAGGTTACTGTCCTCTAGGACATACTCATAAGTGACATGTCCTCAACATCTTGTTTGTCAAACACACCAAATCCATCTCTCAAACATTTGAGATGTTATTCACTAACAAATGTTTATTAAAGCTGATTATGTCAAGAAACTCATTCTAAGGGCTGTATAAAATACCGAGATTAATAAAGAAGTTTTTATCCAATGAGCAACAACTGAAAAACAACTGTAAGATATATTGAAAATTAAATGAGATATAATAAAATAGTGAGGGATACAGAGGAAAGACTCATTCATTCAGAAGAGAAGGCACTATAGAAAAGATAGCATGTATTGAAGAGACTTAAAAGATAAATATAATAGGATTTGAAAGGCTGATGAAAGAATGACATATGCAAAAGCACAGGTGCATGAAACGGAAAAAGAATAAAAAAATTGCAAGAGTCTATTGTATCTAGAGCCCAGGGAAAAATGTAATGAGAGGAGAAGCTGGATATATCATTTTGGAACATCATTAAGAGTCTTGAATCCAAACTTCCACTAAAGAATTTTTATCTATGCGTATATTACTTGAATTTCTTTTTATGTGTGAGAGTTGGGATTTTCTCTCACAGATTTCCTCTTTCCTTTGTATCAATCCAAATACTAGTGAAAGGCATCAAAGATTCAGGTAATCTTGAAGCAGCAATAGTGTCTACGCATTCTAAATACGTTTCCCCAAGGATATGGAGCTGTGCAGTGAATGGCTAAATTAAGCAAAAAGGCTACCACCCTCAAATAGGAACTACTTATGGATGAAGACCTAATATTGGAGTAAAGATAAAAATAAAAGGTATGAAAAACAGGTTATGATGCTAGGGTCAAAGGAATTATTTGAGGAATCAGGAAAAGAGTTAGATTAAAAAAAGTAAACAAGGATAAGTGTTGGTTTGGGGCCTTACTTAAGTCACCCTGCAGATCACCACTTTCTCTTCTAACACACAGACACACCAGGGAATAGACATGAGACAGTGACTCCACAAAACAAGCCTGAGGGGTCAGTGGTGGGAACATAGGTCCTTCACAGAAATGAAGGACTCCTTCAGCTCAAAGCGCAACACTCACCCCTTTCCCTTCAGTTTCAGGTAACCTCAGATCTCCAGAACATCACGAATCCTGATGCTGCACACCTTTCGCTGACCATTCCAGCAGTGGTCAGAGGAGCCATGGCGAACCACACCACTGTCACTGAATTTGTCCTGCTGGGGCTCTCAGATGCCTGTGAGCTGCAGATGCTCATCTTCCTGGGCTTCCTCCTGACCTACCTCCTCACTCTGCTGGGGAATCTCCTCATTGTGGTCATCACCCTCATAGACAGGCGTCTCCACACCCCCATGTACTACTTCCTCCGCAACTTTGCTGTCCTGGAGATCTGCTTCACCTCCGTTATCTTCCCCAAGATGCTGACCAACATCCTGACCGGATACAAGACCATCTCCTTCCCAGGCTGTTTCCTACAAAGTTTCTTCTATTTCTCCCTGGGCATCACAGAGTTCTTCCTACTGGCAGTGATGTCCTTTGACAGGTATGCGGCCATATGTAACCCCCTGCGCTATGTCACCATCATGAACAAGAGGGTCTGCGTTCAGCTAGTTCTTTGTTCATGGGTGACAGGATTTCTTCTGATCATCAGTCCAACATTCATCATACTTCAGCAGCCATTTTGTGGTCCCAATATCATTAATCATTTCTTCTGTGACAACTTTCCCCTCCTGGAGCTCATATGTGCAGACACAAGTCTGATAGAGCTTCTGGGTTTTATTGTGGCCAACTTCAGCATACTGGGCACTCTGTGTGTGACAGCCACCTGCTATGGCCACATCTTCTACACAGTCCTGCACATCCCTTCAGTCAAAGAGAGACAGAAAGCCCTCTCAGTCTGCTCCTCCCACATCATTGTCGTGTCTCTCTTCTATGGCAGCTGCATCTTCATGTATGTCCGGTCTGGCAAGGGCAGCCAAGGGGAGGACAGGAACAAGGTGACGGCCTTGCTCAACACCATGGTGACTCCAATGCTTAACCCCTTTATCTACACCTTGAGAAACAAACAGGTGAGGCAGGTGCTTACGGAGAAAATGAGCAAGCTCCTTTCATGAAGATGAGCTGGGCTTGCCAAGTCTTGCCGCTGCCGCGGCTCGCGAGCCTAGCGGTTCCCTTGAAGCATGAGCCTTCTTGCCCGCCGCCACCGGCGCTGCACCGGCAGCGGACAGAGCGCGCCAGGGCTCCGGGCGCACAGCTTCAGGATGCCCTGTGCCCTCTGTCCCGGCGCCGGAGGAGCTCGGGCGGGGGCCAGCTGCAGGCAAACTGTGGGTGACCGCGCCTGCGGGGGCTTTTGCCATCCGTACACTGGGACCTGGGAAGGAAGAACCAGCAGCTCCTCACCCCACTACCTTCCCCCTCCACCACCATTTTGGAAACTCCGCAGGGACGCGTTTTGGGGGTCCCACTGACTTCCAGGAAGGATGCGTGCCCCTCTCTGACCCCAGCTCGGGTGGCCACCTGTCTTTGCGGCGGTGACCCTTCTCCCATGACCCTGTGGTGCCTCGAGCCCTCCGGGAATGGAGCGGAAGGGACGCGGAGCCAGTTGGGGAACGCGGGGTTGGCGGAGGACAGTCCCCGGAGTTGGCGCGTCTGGCGAAGGCCTTGCGGGAACTCGGTCAAACAGATTGGTACTGGGGAAGTATGACTGTTAATGAAGCCAAAGAGAAATTAAAAGAGGCACTAGAAGGAAGTTGCTTGATTAGAGATAGTTGGCATTCATACTACCTAACAATATCTGTTAAAACGTCAGCTCGACCAACTAATTTGCGAATCGAATACCACGATGGGAAATTCAGATTGGACTCTATCATGTGTCAAGTCCAAGCTTAAACAATTTGACAGTGTGTTCATCTGATCGACTACTACGTTCAGATGTGCCAGGATAAGCGGACGGGTGGAGAAGTCCCCCGGAACGGCACTGTTCACCTTTATCTGACCAAACCTCTCTACATTTCAGCACCACCTCTGCAGCCTCTCTGTAGACTCACCATTCACAAATGTACCGGTGCCATCTGGGGACTGCCTTTACCAACAAGACTAAAAGATTACTTGGAAGAATATAAATTCCAGGTATAAGTGTTTCTCTTTTTCTAAACATGCCTTGTATAGAGTATCTCCGGATGCAGCTATATAAAAGAGAACCAAAACTTGAGTGACTGCTCTGGATAACTACACAGGATTCTAAGAACAGCTGAAGTCAATCTAAT